GGCCATTTTTTGGCTGCAGCCATCATTGTTGTTTGGTGGGCCCGGGCTGGGGATTCGAACCCGCCACCTCAGGTGTACGTGGCTGGCTCCTTAGCCGGTTGAGCTATAGGCGCAGAGCCGGAAGATCTGATTTTAGATGGGAGTTTAGACTTTATAGGGAAGACACTAGGGACTACTGTCAATTTTAGAACGTGCTGGGCAAGGCAACAGACCCAGGCCAAAGAATTTAAAGACTTTTGGCTGAGATAGGGAAAGACTCCAAGTGGGGAAATCAATTACTAATGCACAAATTACATGCTACATCATAAAAATCAACAGTGGTAGTCTCAGATCATGGTAAAAGGAAAACCATACATAAATAAAAAATGGGTGAGACCAAATAATTTCTGCTTTATGCCTTAGATTTTGACACTTTGTAGTAATTTTCAGGCATTCAGAAAGAAAAAGGAGAATGAAGAAAGAAGTAAGGTAGAAAAAAGGGAGATATAAAACAGTCGATCCCAGGAGAGGAAATACCAGTTTAAATACAGTATTTTAAAACGGGACGCTGCGCCCCAATAGCAATTCTATGTTGTAACTACCCAAAGTTCAAACAAATTTCTTTAAAAGGACTCCAGGGGCCGCGGCAACAGCTTAACTAAACTGCTAAAAAAATTTCAAAACAAAAAGAATGAAGAAACATCTCCGCTCAAATTGCTCCAGAGGGGTTTCCAGTCCCCAACGACACAAGGGAAGGTCTGAAAGACCTTAGAACGCACATTTGCACTTTCGTTTGGCCGATGGCGCCAACTTAACAAGCACAGTCAAATAACTTTTCCCTTTCAAGAATGTTGGGACTATGGGGCTCACAAAATGCCAAATTATGCTGACATCATTTCGAACGTGAACCCCGCTACCGCCCGTGGTCCGCGCAGGCGCACGAGGCCCGAGGCGCGGCGCTCGGGCGTCACCGGAAGTGTTACTAGGCGCCCCGGATGCGGCTGGGCGGTGGCGGTTGCCAGGGCGACGGGAGCCTCTCCGAGCCGCTGCTAGCGGCGATTGGAGACGTAGAAGCAGTTACCTGTTGCGGGCCTTGACCGTCGTGCCCACCCCCTTGGATTTCCCACGATGTTCTTCTACCTGAGCAAGAAAGTGAGTTTTCTAGGGGGCTGTCTCGCTCCTTCATTCCCGCAGTCTACGGACAATTCCGCATCCTTCCCGCGAAGGATCGCGGCTTTGCCATCCTGCTGTCAACCTCCCCCCTGACCCGCAAGTCCAGCCTCGGAGGGCATCCTGCGGGTTCCTGAGCTCTAGGTAGCTCTTGGCGGAGCCTGCAGACCTCTCGCAGCCCTCCCGCACTCTCCCACTCCTGCCCCTGGCCAGTAGGGATGGCCAGTAGGACAGATAACCACATGCTGTCCTAGCTTTCCTCTTCCCCCTGTGGATCTAGGTGAATTAAATTCTTTGGCCTCTGGGCAAGAGAAAAATAACAAAAGGGTAGCCCAAGTGTTGTTTAGGGGAAGGGAGTATCGGCTGGTGCTATGGATTTATTCCTCCTTCCCACTTACTTTTAAAAAATCCATCAGGCAACTCCTCCACTAGCTTCTTCCACAGTCCCTACCGTCTTTTGCCCTTTTCTTTCCCAAATGGTGGAGCCCGGAGCAGTTCAGGGAACCATGCCAGTTTTCATAACAGCTCTGTTTTTTTTTTTCTTTCTCTGGAAGGCCATCTTTTTCTTATTGGAATGTTTTATGCAGCCTTCATCTCCTGTAGACTTACTTCCCAAGTCTTCTTTAAAAGTTGCTAGAGTGGCTGTGATTGCTTTTACAGATTGCCATTCCCAATAACGTGAAGCTGAAATGTGTATCCTGGAACAAGGACCAAGGGTTCATAGCATGTGGTGGTGAAGATGGATTACTGAAAGTTTTGAAATTAGAGACACAGACAGGTAAATGAATGCAAGCCCAAATGTTTGAAATTGGTAGAAAGTTGGTTGATGTCATTTGTTCACTGAGATTTGCTCATGGTGCTTGTTGTTTTGCAATTATAATTCTTTTAAGAGGAAAAAAACGCTAAACATTTTGTGGTATTTTTCTGGAGTATTTTTGCAATACAGTCCAGAGAATGTTGAATGTAAACATCAGATGGCTTTTGCTGAAGTTATTGACGGAAAATGAAGAATAACAATTAAGCCAGGAAGTTGTCTTGTGTTATGTCTATTGTTCTGTATCATTTGGAGTGTAGTAAACATCATATGAATAAACATTTAAGTAAGAAATTCTGGCAGATTATTTATTGGCCTATATCATCCTTTCTGCTTATCAGATACGTTAATGATTATCCACTTAGTGCTAAGAACAGAATAATGGGATATGTTTAACATTTTTATCAATAGATGTCTTGGCTTTGCAGCTTGACTTCTTTCTTTTCTAGTTCTCTGGAATCACAGCAGACAGTTTCACATGTGTATTAGCAAATCGTCTGTCTGATAAAGGACTTATATCCGTTAATATACATGGTGTCTCCAAAGTCACCATTCATAGGGAAAATGAGAAATTATAGCTAAATGTACTTTAATTTACAAAGTATACATTACAAAATTTTACAAAGAAATGGCCAATACGTAGAGAATATTTTGTGAAGATTTTGTAAATAAAGGGACATTTAGCTAAAATTTTCCCTATGTATGGTGACTTTGGGGACACCTGGAGATAAGGAAATTAGAGTTGGAATCTCAGCTTTGCCACAAGACTGCTGAACTTGATTTATAGCAAATAGGTGAATATCTTTGAGTTTTATTATAGTTTGTTCTGTTGTAAAATGAAGGGGGTTAAACTACATTGCATTTTGGATTCCTTACATCATTGCTTCTCAAATTATAAGAATCCCTGGAAGAGGTTGTTTAAAAGGATGTCTTGTCTGCACCCTTCAGAGTACATTTGAGAATTTGTGTTTCTAGTGATGCTGGGTGGCTGGTCCTTCTACCACACTTTGAATAGTACTACCTTCTAGCTTTGCATGTGATATTGAGCATTTTCCACATACTGGATGTTTAACCTTCACTATGTCATTTGATTTCACCTGATTTGGAGGAGTTGATTACAGGTGAGAAAATTGAGGCTCTGAGCAGGGTCACACAGCCAGTAAGGGGCACAGCA